TCTTAGCTCGCGTTATACGTTGATGCTTTGAGTCGTTCTTCTCTTGTCCTTCGCTTCTGTCAAGTGGAAGAAGCGCTCGCAATCAGCCCCTACGCATTGTCATTGTTTGGGTGATATTTAGATCACGTTTCTTAACATTGATGCTTCGAGTTGTTGCTTGATCTATTCTAGTGTAAGAAGGGTCTTTCGACTCATATACCTTGGATTCATGTACATATAGCTAATGTTTGATGCTCGTTAGCATCTTTATTTGTGTTTTCGTCCTTACACCTTTGCATGTTCCCTAAGAATTACTTGTTTCATCTTTGAATCAAGGTAGACATTATGTTTGTAAACTATGTATACTAACTTAGATAGATGTTTACCTTTTGCACCCAAACCTTAGGACCACCATTGCATGATAACATTAGGATTGTTAGTCTCCCTTAGACTTTTTTATTCCCATTTTGCATCATTAAAATGAAAACTCTTTTTCTTTGTTCAAACTCTAAAAAACTTAATAAATAAAAATGTGAATCGTATGCAGTTGAGTCTTGTGGGGTAGAGCGAATCGATCCAGACTGAATCTTGCTCTTTCTTCATTTTCGGACTTTATTACGGTTCAAATCACAAACCTTTTTGCAAATAAGCAGAGAAGTAGTGAGTGTCCCTCCAGTGGGATTCATTTGCTATCATCCCACCAAAAACACCAACCAATTCAAATCTTTTTGCCTCTGGGCTTCCTTCGGGCTTTTCTTTGAAAACCTTTTCTCTAAAAAGGATGTATTATTTCCTCTTCACGCAAAACGACACGTAATTCCCGAAAGGTCAGGTGGCACTATGCCAACTATTGCACGGAGGGTGGTATGTACGCATAAAAGGTGTGCAATAGTGGCGGACACGACTAATAAAACATTTTTCTTTGTATATACACACCTCATTCATGCATTTTCCCTTTAGCTCGTAAGCTTTAGATATGAACACACCCTTTGATTAGAACAACAAAAGTGGATCCCGTGGAGTACCACAGACGTGAGGGGTGCTAATATATTCCCTTTGCATAATCGACCCCCGTATCCGATCTCTCGGTCACAAGATCGTGATTTCTCCCTTCAGGTTTTCTTTGATGTTTTTCTTTCCCTTCCGTGGGGATAAATAAATGCTCGATGGCAACTTTATTGATTTTTATCTCGATGATTTTCCCGGTTGCCTCAGTTATCATCAAAACTCTGAGATTACATGCAGAACCAAATCTTGTTCTAACATATTTCTCAAAATCTTTTATGTACATTTGGAGTCGACCCCCAGGCAGTATGAGTCGACTCCCTTGCCCTTAGGAGTTGACTCCCACTTTGAATGGATCGGCTCCCATTGTCCGAAATGTCCAATTTTTTAATTTTATAACCCTATTGTTCTATATATATATATATAGTTTGATAACGTCTAACTAGGATTTGGAGTAATCGATTGGGTTGAAAAGTATTTGGGGGTTCATGATAAATACATTTGGGGTTTTCTTCCACAATTAAGGATTGATTTGGGAGTTTTTCACAAGATTGCGTAATTTAGATTCAGCCGAGTGAAAGCTTTAAAGAATGGGGATTTCTGTCAAAAGAGTAATGGTAAGCAGAGGATCACTTTGGTAATCTTGGGTCACGATACATTTTCAATTTGGATTCATCCGAGAAAAGGCTTTGAAGAACGGGGATTCTATCAAAGAAGTAGCGGTAACCAGAGGACCAAATTGGAAGTATAAGGTTACTTGATCAAGCTTTGATCAAGGGAAGAGAGGAAGATAGGATCAACATCAAACTTAGAGTTTGAAGGGTTGGATTGCTACTTTTTCTCTTGTAAAACTACATTTGCAAAAGTTAATTTTCATTATCTCAATTCCAAACGGAATTGGGGGCAGACGTACCTGTAGTGAGGTCGGTTGAAGAATTGTCTAACCAAATTCTTGTCTCTCTCTCATTTACATTTACTTGCAAATTATAAAGTAATTGATTGTGCAATCGATATATAGAGATAATATCTTTGTTTAATAATTCAAATTAATTTGTTGAGTTGATTACAATCTATGTGATTGTAGTTGGATTTACAAATTAACAAAATCATAGAAAAATTTATTTTGAATCGATTACACACCAAGTGTTCGACAAATTGCTTATATCAAGTTTTGTTTGATATTTCATTAGAAATATATTACTATTGTATGATTTAATTCAAACGTGGTTGCTAAAAATATATAAATTATCTTATCATCCTACATATTCGTTTTATCGATTTAACGAATATTTGGTCTTTTCGATAACAGTCTAAATAGACGATTGTCGATCTAGATTTGTTTCCGTGCGTCATAGTTAAAACTTTTTTAAACAGGATTTTTAATAAGAAAATTTTATTTACTATCTACTTAATCCTCCCTCTAAATTGTAGTCTATCATCTAACAAATGAAAAAAAAAACTTAAAAATATATGAGTGAATGAATACTTTTTATTGATGAATTTAGGCTAATGAATTGTTAAATTTAAGGGAAATAATCCTAATATTTATTTAAGAAATACACATTTTCACATATCTAAATTTACCATAAATCAAAATATTCACCTAATTTTTAATTAATCAATTTACTATAATCAAAAGATTTTTTAATCAGAAGATCACAACTAATAAAGTAAATATGATTTATAGTATCTTTACATTTAAGATTGAGTTCTTACTAAACTTTTTTTTAAATAGATAAGATCAATTTTTTTCTTAAAAGTTATATTTTGATGAGGCATGTAACTTACTTTACTTTAGACGCGTTAATTTAACATCACAAAATATTTTTTAAATTTTAAAAAATGAATTTACAACCGATAGTAAGTGTGCTGATTTAAACTTACAATGTATTCATTATATTGTGAGGCATATATAATATATTTCGAAGGTATTAATTCAATTGCATAAACTTGTATTAAAAATAGAAATATCACAATCAATAAAATAAATATGATCTATAGTTTATGTTAGATCGAGTTCCCACTAAACTTCTTTTTAAAATTAAATAAGATCAACTTTTGTTTAAATCAAACTCATTGAATAATTAAACAAAAATTTAAGGAATGTATGTCTTAGTTGTATTCCTTCCAATCAATTTATGAATGTGTTATCAAAAAATGTAAGTGAATATTTAACCTAATCTTGCGAATAGTGAAATTTACATTTTGATAATGTATGTAACACAATTTTAGTGTGTTAATTTAACATCATAAATTTTCAAGTTCATAATAATAATATGTATAAGAGATGGTAAATATGTTGGTTCAAATTTATAAAATTTAAAATTCACATGTATTAGGATATATCCAACGCATTTCAAACGCGTTACTTCAATAATATTAACTTTTACATTTCTGTCAAACACGTTAAGTAAATGACACAAACTTTTGAATTCACGTTTATTTTCCCAAAACATATAAAAATTTTAATGAAAAATCAAACGTATCTTCTACGCGTTAATTTAATATCACAAATTTCTAGACTTACAATAATAATATATACAACGGATAGTAAGCACATTGTTTCAAAATCACATAATTTCAAACTCACATGTTTTGTGACATATGTAACGTACTTCATACGCGTAAATTTAATGATAAAAATCTTTTGAATTCACGTTAAATACGCAAACTTTTAAAGTCACGCCAAACACGTTAATTCAAATGATAGAAACTTCTAAACTCACGTTTATCATCCTTAAACATATCCACTTGATTTTAACAGTAAAAAAATCAAATGTATTTAATCTAAATTTAAACTAAATACATTTAATCTTGTATTTACATTTGAATTTAAAAAAATCATGTAAAACATTTACCTCAAATATTGATCCACTGTAAATTTTAATTAAAAAAATAGATATTTTAACATGTCAACAAAATCTTATAGTGAATCAAATTTTACCATAAATCTAGAAATTCACTAAATCATTACTTAACCAATTTACTATGATCTAGATCCTCTAGAACATGGTAAAACCACAAGTAATAAGGTAAATCCAAAACTTGAAACTAAAAAGAAAAAATAAAAAACACACAATAATGAATTGAATCAACAAGTAAAAGTAGTAAAAGTGAAGCTGAAATGGGTAGGTCTAAGAAAATAGTAATTAAAGCTGAAATAAGGGAAGAAAAAAGAATAACAAAGGTCTTCCTGTGGGTCCCACCTTCAAATCTGTGACAGGGACAGCAGTTTCATTTCTCAAGCTCTTTTCCTCATGCCTCTTGTTGTGTTTTTTTCTTATTTAAACTCTTAACTCATCTTTTTTCTTCCTCTCTCTCCTCTCAATCTCTCTTTCTCTCACTAGAGTATAGCTACAAATATAAAATATTTTTTTTAGTTGTTGCTTAGGACTTTAATTTTTATATGTTTTTTTAGTCTAAAGTTGAAACCTTTGTATTCTTCTATGTGATGGTTGTGTGAATTCTCTCAGGGAAACAAACCAAAGTCATCTCTTTCCCACCCTTCAATCTCAAACTCATGGGAACTTCAACAACAACAAGCAAAATCTAGGGTTTCACAACATCAACTTCATCAAGGTCTGTCTGTCTGTACTATGATGATGTTTTCTTTTTTTGGGTTTTTTTTTATCTAAAGGAAAATTGAGGCTTTTTTTTTGTTTTTAATCTCTTTGGTCTTTTTTAATGTAATGTTGGTAGAAAGCATTATTAGTTGATTCTGATTCACTGCTCTTTCTTATTTTGCAAAAAAAATCAATCTTTATCATCTCAGTAACTGAAATTTTCAAACTTTAACTAAAAATCCTATTTTTACGGTTCGTGTCTGGTGAAAAATGGGATTTTTATCATCTGGGTATTTTTATCTGCCACATAAGAATCAATGTCTGGTATATTTGTGGATAAATGAGATGATTTTTTTTGTGTTTGGTGTGTGTTTAGTTTGATTTTGAGACTTAGTTTTGTATTTGTGAATTTTTGTTATATATATATATATAGAGAGAGAGAGAGAAGCTATAATGGAGGAAGTTGAACAAGCTAGTAGAACAGCTGTTGAGAGCTGTCATAGAGTTCTGAGTATGTTATCTCAACCAAGAGATCAAGTTCATCATAAGAATTTAATGGTGGAAACTGGTGAAGCTGTGAATAGGTTCAAGAAAGTTGTGTCTTTGCTTCATGATGGTATGGGTCATGCAAGAGTTAGGAAGTTTAGAAATCAGAAACAAGTTCCTTTTCCTCAAAATGTTTTCTTGGACAATCCCGTTTGCAAGAAACCGAACAACCATCACACCAAAAAGGTTCATTTTGCTCATATTACTTATCTGGAGAATTCGGGTAAGGAACTTGCACTGACCGTGAGAAATCCAAACACTTCTTTGGAATTGAGCTCTAATGGGAAAAGTCCTCTTCCCCTTGCTCAACAAGCTGCGTCGACCCAGTCGACTCACTATCAGTTCTTTCAGCATCAGCAGCAGCAGCAGCAACAGAGATTGATGATGCAGCAGCAACAGCACCAGCAGCAGCAGCAAATGAAGCATCAAGCAGAAATGATGTTTCGAAGGAACATTAACAGCATAAACCTTAGTTTTGACAACACTACTAGCGGCACGCCGACAATGTCGTCTACTAGGTCTTTCATTTCGTCGTTGAGTATAGACGGAAGTGTTGCTAACATGGATGGAAGTCAGTTCCATTTAGTAGGAGCTCCGATCTCTTCGGATCAGAATTCACAACAGCACAAGAGAAAATGTTCGGCTAGAGGCGATGAGGGAAATCTGAAATGTGGTAGCAGTTCAAAATGCCATTGCTCAAAGAAGAGGTTATTCCCTTGGTGTCTACATTAATCGTGAATTTATGCTACTTTAGAGTTTTAAGAAGCTCTTATAATACGACATTAATAACTTTGTGTTTTTGTTCACAGGAAGCATAGAGTGAAGAGATCAATTAAGGTGCCTGCTATCAGCAACAAACTTGCCGATATCCCTCCTGATGATTACTCGTGGAGGAAGTACGGGCAGAAGCCGATCAAGGGCTCTCCTCACCCTAGGTAAATTCAAGTTCAACCTTTGCTTCTAGAAATTTGATTTATGATGTTATTGGATATTATAGTTTGTTTACATGATGTACTAGCCTGTTGGGATTTCGATAATTCTTGTTTGTGTATGTATATGTTGATTGGAGTTTGCTAAGAAATTCTCGGTTGAGTCATTCAGATTGCTCTTAAATTTTTGTATGTGGTGTCAAGTGCCAACTAGTATCTTTTCATTCCGTACGATAAAGCATGTATCCACGGTTTTGTGTGGTTTGATGGACATTCTTTAACTTGAAAACATGTTTAAAATTAATTTGGCATTTTGATATTCTCGACATAAACTTAGTCTTAACCTTAGTAACCGTCACAATTATGCTCGATTATTTTCCTATATTGCCTATAAGATGAAGGAGAAATGTGAACTAAAAGTTTTCTCTGTTTTCTTCAGGGGATATTATAAGTGCAGCAGCATGAGAGGATGCCCGGCTAGGAAGCATGTCGAGAGGTGCTTGGAAGAGCCAACTATGCTAATTGTTACCTATGAAGGGGAGCATAATCACCCCAAGGTACCAACTCAATCTGCAAATGCATGAAGAGAGGCTTATCATTCAATTTGTCAAAACCTCTATGTGATTGATTTGGCTTGAGATGTTTCTGTACATATTTCAAGTGATACAAGCAGGGTTGCAGATTTTGGCTTTTGGATAGCTTGGTTGAGGGTTCGTTTATTTAGAGGCGGTGTCGATGAAGTTTATCGGTTAAGTGCATTGAGTATGTAAAATTGGGTAGTTTTAATTCGGAAAAACTATTTTTATTTTTCTTAAGTATGTTATAAACATTTCATGGTTCTTTAAATTAATGGAAATTTGTCTTTGGAGAATGGTTTGGCTCTTTCGATTTTGTTTTTGGAGTTGAGGTTCTAGCAAATTGATTGTCTTAGTTTATCATCCCGCATTATACAACAATTGATTATAAATAACTTTGTTAGTATAATCTAATTGACATATACATGACATGGTTATCTTTGCTGTTATAACAGCTAGACATAACCTTAGCATTTGGAGGGAAAAAAACTCGGTACGCATTTGACATCAGAGTAGTGTGACCAAATGTGACATTTGCGTGTTTGGAAAGTGAAGTGTGACTATGTGTCACAATTCGCGTGTTTGGAAAGCAAAGTGTGACTATGCACGTGTTTCGAATATCTTATTGTGTGACAACATGTGTCTAGTGCGAAGTCACGCGCTTGAAATTAGAATGAGTTTGTCGAAGTCAGTGGTATAATACTATTATTGAAACTCAGCGGGATACTGCATTTTCAATGCTAAGTTTCCTTTTGCAACATGACTATTTGCGCGTGTTTGAAAACGAAATGTGATTGTGTGTGACAACTTGCGTGTTTCTTTTTTAGAGTTGTGTAACCACAACGCCACAATTCGCATATTTGAAAAGCGAAGTGTGACTATTAATGGCAACTTGTTTCTTTTCTAGAGTTGTGTAACCTCAACGCGACTATTCGCGTGTTTGAAAAGTGAAGTGTGACTATGAATGACAGTTCACGTGTTTCTTTTTCAAAGTTGTGTAACCATAACACGACTATTCGCGTGTTTGAAAAGCGAAGTGTGACTATTATTATGGAGTGCAACAAATATGGTAACTTGAGTTATACTTCATTGTTAATTAATAAAAAAACTTATAATACATCATATTAATAACATGATTTTATAAATAATTGAGTAATTTTAAAATTATTTAAAGTTTATAGTTAACTCTGTAACAAATACTACATTTATAGAATTACTTGTATGCAAGTCGAAGCTATTTTTAGACAATCTAGCATCTTCTGAATCAAAGACAAAATGTAATAATTTAAAGTAAGACCTTTCTTGATTTGCCTTCGCTACATTGCTTAGCTTCCCTTAATAGAAATGTTCTATTTGCTATTCAAAGTTTCTCAACAGAACATGTGAGTTGCAAGGGGACCAATATGGGCATTCATGCTCGATCATAGTTTCATTGGGTCCAATACCATTTGTTATCAACATTGTTGGAGAATAAATGCTTTCTTTTGACCCCAAATTCTTGCAAATCACTTGCTTCAAAAGAATTGAGAAATGGGAAATATTATTTTGACTATTGACTATATTCTACAATTACATGACTTGGATAGAAGTTCTCACATATGTGATACAAGTTCTCAGATGTGAGTAGTATATAAAAAATAAAAATAAAAAGATGATTAATTAATAAGAAAAAAATTGATAATTAATGAGATTCATTGTATGCAACAATCAACATGTTAAAAAATCGTTAATATAATGATGAAGAATCAAGTAGTTAAGTCTCAATAATGGTTTGAAGGATTACATTTTAGACTATAATGAAAAACTATGAAGATATTGACTTAGTATTTTCCACGTATCTTCAACAAGCATACGCATGAGTGAAGTTTTGGATATGCTGACCTACCCGATTTTGGATATGTTTTAGTAATAAAACCAAGGATACATCCAAAGTTTTAATTCTAATATTAATCATTGAGAGAAGACTTTTGTTTCATAATAATAATGTTGATGTTGGCAAAGTTTATAACCTTTGATGGAACAAATACTACGTATGGATCCACTATCATTATCAGTGGTGAGACTAAAAGTGTATTAAATCGGTCAAATAAGGATTCACCACTTAACACGCATTAAAGCTATAATTCATTACACAAGGATATAAGATACCAAAAGAAATTAGTGATGGTTTCTTGGCCATTTGGCTTTATGTTTTAGTGAACAATGAGATGTTTTTACTTTTTCAATCGGTGCTCTTTTAATCAAATAATTGGGCTCAATTGATTCATGAATTTTAATTAAAGATTAATAGTTTTAAAGAACTCGAATTCAACATTTTAGCTAAGTCATCACCCGTTTTTTAAGGGGTTGATCATTAAATCTCATATATAATCAGAAACTCTATAATGTCATTCATATACTTCATATTTTAAAATTCAGATGCGTTCATTCTGCAACAAAATGACTCTATGACTAAAGCATCTAATTTCTATAAAAAAATTGGTTTGGATTTCAATCTATTATGTATCATAGGTTCGGATTTCGATATCCAGATTAATCCCATAACAATATTTTACACCCCTTTGCTACTAAGTTAGAAGAATTTTGTATTTTAATAAACCTTACATTATAAGTCATTTATTGATCTCACACTAAACTATACACATTTTTATTTAATAATAAGATCTAAATAGAAGAACTATTGCATATATATATATATATATATATATATATATATATATATATATATATATATATATATATATATATATATATATATATATATATATATATATATATATATATATATATATATATATATATATATATGAATATGAATGTCAAATTGTCAAATATAAAATGTTATAATCAATCAAGTACAAATCATAATATAAAATATTGAAATATACAAAATAAAATCTCACTATTATGTATATCCGATGCCATTGTTCCTTCTCTATCAGCGGTATTGCAACACGTGTCGTGCCTCTGCAAATAAGACATGTAGAATGGTCATATAATGAGTGTTTTTCTCAAATTCACCTCTACCACAATGTTGTGACATGTCAGTAACACATTAATAACATGCTCTGCCATTTCCTACACCTCTTATAAGATCTTTTGATGAGTTGATCTCTCGAATATCCCCTTATTTATTGTCATGTAAGGATGTGACACTTTATAAAATCATTGATTGTATATGCATATTATGGACGAATAGTTGGAACATAATGTGCATCCTCTAACATCAGATGAATAAAACTATGCTACAAAAATCCCATCAACACCCCTACAGAGTAAGTGGTAGGAGCAACAACGGTGGGGTACATAAGTCGAGTCCCACAATATTATCAACTCCAAGAATTGTGTCTCAGGGTGATCGACATACGCCATCTATTTAAAATCATTTTATATGTTGCGATCAAGAGTAATTCGGAGGATCGATCACTTGATTTCTTATTAATGGGGTGATCGAAGATGTATGTGGCAACACCTTGGGGTAGTCACCCACATATGTTCAATCAGCAATTCATGGAAAATACTAGTGGATTCATGCGTGAAAATGAGTTCAGCTCAAATATTAGTAACAAAAATAATGTGCATACGTATTACGGGTTAATATCAGTGAATGTGCAAAAACATTACTATAAATAGACAATTGTTTCCAGTTAACTGTCGAGTCTTCCATATACTTCAGTTAGCTGGTTTGGAGTAGAGGTACATCAAACAAGAAATCCCTCAATTATACTTGTGAATTCTCTCCATGTCAATGAAATATTAGAGATAGATAACGCCGACATAGGTCACACTTTGATTCACAAAAATGAACATTATCAACAAAAACCAAGAGGTATGACCTCAATACACATGTTATGTGGTATGCAACATGTGCATCATCACCATCAGCTTCTACAACTACAATTAAGTGGTACTCATACAGATCCAACAAGAATGAAATCCGAGCATGACAACCTCTCTTGTCATTTAACTCATGTTGAGCTTTTTCCGGACCATCTCTCAAATAAGTCACCATCATATTCAGTGTCTTAAATCTGTTGATTCTAAAATAGTTTAATAATTCTCCCTATATTAGAAGATGTATGAGACATGAGACATCATTAAGTGTGACAGATATCTCATCGATTGGAAGATTAAATGACGTCTATATGTGTCATCTCTCCACAAAAGTTGAAAATAATTCATGAGTAATATAAATATAGTTAGTCCAACATAAATCTTGCAAACGAGACACATGCATGACATCATAAAACCATGACTCATCAGATTACACCAACTTTGTAACCTTTCTACTACGGTTGATACATTTTAACGCATCACGGTACTACAAAAATAAATACATCATCCAATAATTCAAATATTATAACATACATAATTAAAAGAATAATTAAAAGATTTATGCTAACTCTTCATCCCATACATGTCTAACAGCATGGCCTGGATACGAAAGAAACAATGAAATAACATTCGTTCTCTCGTATGAAGAAGGCTGAAGATTTTTCCTTCATATCCTTCTTAGAAGTTTCGATTGATATAAATTATGGAAAAGTTGTTGTTGTGCTTGTTATTGTATTCTTGTGTGATGACTTTTCCTTTGTTTTTTCTTTCTCTATTAACTAAAAGGCTGGGATTTAAAAGCTCATGGGAAACCGTTTGGGATATCTAAGACAATAGCGAACACATAAATTCGGAAAGATGATGACAGCTAACACGTGATTCTATGAAGATGATCCCTCGCCAACAAAGAAAGTCTCTCCAACTTCAGATTGTGAGGGTCCAATTTTTTTTCCGATGAACAGAAACATGTTAGAGCACTCTACCAAATCTCAATATTTCCTAATTATCAAACATTTTTTAATAATCAAACAAATACAACAAAAAGATGACATAACATGAAAATAGAAACAAACCAAATCAAAATCAGATAATAGGCTATTCTAGATTGCAATCTTCAAGACTAAGGGTTCGGATTGTACAAATCATATTACACTGATACAAACATGTGAACCTGAAAATAGAGCGTGTGAACCCTAAGTTCTAGTGCTCAAAAACACAAGGCAAGATAGTTGGACAAACACAAATCACATATATATTATATTTAAGTCTAAAGTGTGATACCTATAAACTAATTATGCATGCATGTGAAATAGAAAAAGAAAGAGAATGGGAGACAACTTACTAATGCAATAAATAAGAGCTTCATATAAGTGCAATGAAATTGAGTAGAGACATAATAAACTTCAATAGAATGTATAGAAACTAAGAAGGTGATTAACAAAATTCTGTAACCGCAAATGAGGACCTAACTCGTAGTTTATCTGTTTTTACACTTTAACAAAAAATTAAAAAAAGAGAAGGTAAAGGTAAAGGCACGTGTTTACTTAGTCAAACAAGAGCGTCCAAATTCATTCTCACTAATTATTTACTAAAAAATTTCAATCTTAAAAGTTTTTTAATATATAGGAATGATGGTGCATCCGAATTTTAAAGTCCAATTCTAAAAATCATTTTAGAATTTTCACTAAAGGGTGTAATGAATAGTAGTGCCCGATTTTAATACCACCTAACCAAACCTCAAATTATCATACTCCAAACAACTACTACTAAATTATCATTGCGTCTATGGATTTGATAAAGATCAGAGTTATGCACAAAATCGTGCTCTTTTATGTAGAAAATGTACTTCATAGTAAATATAGTTAAACATCGTATATATTTTGGTACTGAATCATATACTTCATAACAAAATGTAGTTAAAAGTCATTTATATTTGGTACTGAATCCCTTGAATTTAATCAATAACGCAACATTTATTTTCTAGTTTACGGCACATGTCATAGCTAAATCAAAAACAATTACTCATTTCAACTCAAAGCTCAGCAGAACATTGAAGTATGTGTTACACCTCAATGCACAAAACACATTCCCTTTCAACATTGATATCATATAACAAAGACCAATATGCATTGTATCATCAGTATACAGTGCAAGTGATCTCGTCGAATATAATTTTTTCAAGCTTTTGTGATCATAATATCCAACTATCAAGGCAAAATAGAAACTTTAAAAAGCTCAATAACAGATATATTAAATCCAAAATTTCAGTTTACTGGTGTCCTAAATGTCAAAAACAATGTCAAGGAGAAACAAAATATTTAAATAGATGCAGTAAAACAAGAAAACGTTTCCATTGACATATGGATAGGAGCTCTGATGGCGATCTTCACTTGAGAGGAATAAACCTGGAGGAGTGAGTAGCACCAATACCGGGCCTACCGTGCTTAACAGGCTTGTATGAGATTGAGAATTCAGCTAGATAGTGGCCAATCATTTCAGGTTTAATCTCAACTTGATTGAAGGTCTTCCCATTGTAGACACCAATAATGCTACCGATCATCTCAGGCACGATGATCATGTTGCGGAGGTGAGTCCTCACAGGTTCAGGCTTCTCACCAGCAGGGGCCTCACGTTTCTGTCACAAATCAAGAATACAAGAATTAAAAGTAGGCACACAAGTTTATTGAGAAATTATCAATATCAGTTAAGTAAAATGTTCACCAACAAGTTAAATATTCCATAATGTATAATATAATGAAGGGTGCTCAGAAAGTAATGAATGGATATGATAGTTATCCTCATTATTAATCAGATTAACGAGATTATTTCATTTAATCATCATAGCACCCATAAGAACAGTACACATATTTGTTGTTCAACCACTACATAACAATAAAATAATTCATTACATAAATAAACAAATTCCTTGTTGTTCAACCCCTACATAACAATACTACTCCTTCTACAAATCCTCGTGTACTAAAAATTAGATCTAATAGTCTAATTGAAACCTATAATCAAGAATTAACGACTCGAATACAGATATAAACAGAAAACTTACAGCCTTGCGGAGCTTCTTGATTAGTGCCATAGGTTTGCGGGTCAAACCACGTTGAAACCTGGAATGCATTGAATTTTAATTGTAATTGATCAAAAATTAGATGTGGTTCACATAAAAATAGAAAAAATAAAGAAATTTAGAATAGTAATTCCAAATAGTGTCCTAAATAATAATAGTAGCAGTATGAACTACTATACAAACAATGTAAAGTACACCCAAAATAAACCTAAAACTGCGTTATCAACACATTAGTTCAGAAATTTGATAGATTTCATGCCATAAACCTATTAATTCTATACAAAAAATAGCATTCAAATGTTGCCAAATAACCTAAAAATGGTGCTCAGAGAAATGAATGGATATGAAAATTATCGTCATAATAAATCAGATTAACGAGATTATTTCATCTAATCATCACAGCACCTTCTAACTAGTTCACAATTCCAATTCAACGCAAAACACGTCTAGACTCACTACTATAATATACCTTCTACGTGCACGAGCTGAGAAGAGCTTGACGAGTTCATCAGTGGACATATCCAAGAGCGCATCGAGATCAACGCCTCTGAAACTAAACTTCTTAAATGTCCTCTTCTTTGGCACTCCCTGTGCGGCGACCTCGGGTTCAACATCTGCCTGAAAATCAACAAATAAATCAATCAACAATACGAAAATTGTAGAAAGAAGTGAAGAGATGCGAAGAGAAAGAGTTTTCAGTTTTCACCATGGCTGCAACGATTTTCAGAGGAACTGTGCTAGGGTTCTTCTTGCAGCTGCTTCTCACGGATCTCTCTCTGTTAGGTTTCTTTTAAGCTCTTCTCAGACGGCGACGTTTTTATATCATAAGCAAGTTGGGTTATTGGGAAATTTGGGCCCATGGCCTCATGGACCATATTACTTGTACCTACTCTTCTCGAGAATTTAACATAACACCACTAATTTTATATTTGGCACCACACATTTTAATTTAATATCAACTATGTCCCTCTCATTTCTTGAAAGACATGTAAAAAAATTTCGAAAAATTTGGTAGGTAAATGTAAAAATCTGGTGCATGTAAAAAATTCACCTGAATGTTTCACCATAACCTAAAAATTTTAAGTGTTAAAATTGAACGTCTAAGATTTTGCAGACACCTTTGAAGGGATGTGATTGCACCGACAATTTTGTGTAGTCTATATTGATTTCAAACTTATATAAATATGCAACATATGTTGTTAAAAATAACATCTCGTAATGTATCACTATTGTTATCTCGTATTTGTGTACTCCAATGGCGTGAAACCACGTGTTGATTTTAGGCTCACGGAGGACACCCTCCTTGTTGTTCTAAAATTCAAACTGGATAATCTCTTGCATCATACCAACAATAGAAAGGTGGTTAAGATCGAGTGTCATTCACCATCGATCGATAATAAATGAAAGATTAGGTTTAATAAGTTTGAACTGAAGACATGTAAAAATTTAAAAGTCATATGGAACACATATCACCAATACCGAAAAAAGGGGTTCGGTTGAGGTGGATGTGACAATTGCGAGTTTTATCGACAATATTATCAATATGTTGAAACATCCTAATTCATCTACTAGTGTTTAAGTTTTGTTCATGTTGAAACATCCTAAATCATTTACTATTATGAGTATCTCAAAATTCTCAACAAATCTACTACCAAAACCATTTTTTAGTCTCTTTGTGCTACTTATGAAGGAAATTAACAAGTTAAAGAGAGGCCAAGGCAAACCTTTTAGTCTAACAATATGAACTGTTCAAGATGAAGGAAGATGAAGACATTTAAATCATGTGTCTCAAGGTTTCAAGTTCTTGTATATGGACTTCAAGTATCGAACAATAGTTATACAATTATTGATCATGTCTAGAAGATTCTTATGAGTCTTCCTGACAAGTATATGTCATACTTCAAATTTGTCCTACCCCTCTGCTTTCATCTGGCTTATGCATATTGCACTTCTCATTTGCATCCTTCAATTTAGTCATACAATAAACCATGCATCATCAATAGATTTGGAATTTGGATCAAGGATCGTGGAATTAGGGTTTTCTTTTGATTCATTGTCATTAAGCTATCAAGACATTGTTATCTTCATTTCTCAAGCATCGAGAGTTTACAAGTTCATCAAGTTTTCATCAAGGATCAAAGGTATCAAGTTAGGGTTTCATCATTATTCATTGGGATCATCTAGGATTGAGATTTGCTTCATCCACGACATCTTCGAGCTATTTTCTCCATCAAGGTATGGGTTAGAGATCATTATTTGCAAGGCATGATTTTAATTATTTGATTTACAAGACAATTCATTTAATTTGAAGTTCATTTATTCAATTGGAAAAGTCAACAAAAATGTTTAAAAGTTAAAGGTTGACTTTAGGGGTTTGGGTTAAAATTGAGGTTCAAAGTCAAGAATACAAGAAAATATTGCAAGTGGATGAGTTTGATCGAGTATAATCATGAATATTAAGATAACTTGTAAAAAGGGAAAGATTGGAGAATTTGGAATTTTTTTTCTAAGTGTCAAAGTGCATGGTTAAGTAGGTGACTTTCAAGGATTTTATCTCTTTTATCAATGATCCAAAAATTGTAAACAATGGTTGCTTTTAAAGATATCATACGATATTGAATCATGGTGAAAGTTTGAGTTCAAAAGAGATCCATGAGTTGCTTAAAATTCATGCTAAAGTGGAAGGTTCAATATTGGTAAAATTGTCAAACACTTAGAAATTTTTCTAAGTGTTGAGCATTTATGGAACCCTGATTTTGAAGGCACATATCTTTTTATCCAAGCCTCTTCTCAAGATATTTCCAATATCAACATTGTTCTTTGCCATGAAACCTACAGTTTGAAATTAAAATGGAATCATTTGGTGTATTATGCAAGAAGATTTGGTATTGCAAAGTTGTTATCTTAAAACTGATCATGACCAAGTGTATGTCCAAAATCATGTCCAGCCATCTTTAAGACCGGTTTTGAACCTATGTGTCAACCTATCCCCAAATATGACCAAAATCATTCCTTTTCATTTTCTTCAAACCTAAAACTCTTCTTCACATCTCAAATTCATTACTTCACTAAATCCACTTCAAAATCCACATAGAAATCACTTGAAATCAAACAAATTGCATGCCCTGTTTTGGAAATGCTACATATTGCAAGTTGAAAATCCAAATTACCATCTCCTTGTTCCAGATTTTTCTCAATATGCCCGCTCATTTCTACACATCCTAACAAACTTGTTCATGCTTTCCCAACCCTCTTTTCACTCTCCCAAACCTTAACCCTAAAATAATTCCAATCCTTTATTTCATGTGCAATTTTGTTGTAACTAACTCCTAACCAATTTCCAAGCCTTAACTTCGTTTCCAAAGCTAGCTCCAAACCTAACTCGTCATCTATAAAAGCAAGTTTTCCCTCCAATTCACCATAACCACCATTTCACAAAAATCATTAAAAACTATCTTCTTCGAATCTTTTTCTCTTTTCACTCTCTCTCAAATGTCTTCACTTCTACATCATCTAATACAGCTTCTATAACACATTTCCAAGCCAATTCTTCTCCAATTCCAGATATGAGATTTCCGTCTTCATCAATGGAGTAAAATTTGAATTCTCTAATTCTTCATGGATTTCTGAGATCTATTGGTTCTATCTTCATCAAATCATCCTAATGGAACTTCTGAATGCATTTAATTGCTACTGGATCCACTAAATCAAGCACTTTCCTCATTATCTTTGTTGTACCCCAAAATTTGCCCTCTCATTTATCAATATTTTTCTCACAAGATCTCTTTGACTCAAGACTGGATTAGGGTTTGACCAGCTCAAGACATCTCATCATGCACTGATGACCAAATTTAGGATTTGAGTTTGCACAAGGATTTTTGGACTATAAATGCTTCATTTGACTTTCAAGGATCATTATGGACCCCCAATATTATTTATGCCAAGTTTCAAGCCTTGAATCACATTTTTGATCAGTCAATTGGACAGTTGACCTAAAAATCAGCTGTATTGGGGAAAAAGTCAATCATGGCCAATTTATAGTCAAACTTCATGATTTTTTATCCACATCAACATTTTAAACTCATATGTATCATTTGATCAAGTTTGGGCCACCATTCCTCAAGGAATTTGATCAAATCATCAAAAGGGCAAAATGGTCAAAATTAGGGTTTTGACTAAGAAGGGGCAATTTCTGATTTTTGACCTAGAAAATGATCAATTGGTTTGAAGCATGATTTCAATAGTTCAATTGCATCATCTTGACCTAATTATATGGTTCAAGACATTACAAATTCATTGGATTGACAGATGAATTTTTCAGTCAACTGGTCAAAAGTCAATTGTATACTGAAAAGTCAAACTTTGACTTTTTGGTCAAAATCAAGTGCCAAAGATCATGATTCATCAAAACATGTCAAAATGTGAAACTTGTTCATCAAGAAATCAAGGATTGAAGATTTTTTTTTTGAAATTTGAAATTTCTTAACTTCAAAATTTTTCTAAGTATAGAAAATTTCTTATTTTTTCTCAACTTTAAGCCAAATTTTCACCATGATACAAGATGATTCAAATGAAGTTCCCAACATGAAATTTGTAGATCTCCATGAAATCTACAACTTTTCTTCACACAATTTCTCCTAAAGATGCTTGGATCTCAATATATAATTTTGTGAATACATGCTCATGAACTAAAATAACTTAGTGAAATTTTGCCCTAGTTAGGCAGGTTTTTGACCTAACTTCATGCCAATTTTTCACATAGTTCCAAGGGGAATCTTTGAAAGAAATTCAAAGATGAGTTATAGATCACATTTCAATCTTTCCAAAATGTCCAATAACTCCTTGAGATCATTCTTGAGTAGGGAGAATCTAAGAGATGAAGTTGGCAATTTCTCACTTTGATTTCAAGTCATTTCATGATGAACCAAAATTCAAATTCAAACCTAGGCTGCATAATATTTGCTTTGCAGGCCTCAAACTTGTTTCTCACTCCATAATTAAATGTTTACACAGCTGATATAGCTTTTATCCAAGCATTAGAGCCTTTGTCCAAGCTACAATTCCATTTATGGCACAAAGTTGTTATTTCCATTTTGATAAAGCACAACTTTTGCAATTGTCAACTCCTTGAGCTTTGCACTTGTTCTTTCTGCACACACAAACCCTATAAACCAAAAGAAATGTGTCTAGAACCTCTACCAACTCAGATCAGGCTTGTACAAGCACATAGAGACTTGTCTTCTCACTTTTCTTCAAAAGCAAGTAATATAGCCAAAAGGCTATGACTCAGAAATCTTGAGAAAGCTTGATCCCTAATCCTTTCCATACATATACACAAATGTATTGTGACCTAGATGAAACAACCGGCTGAAAATCATCCAAAACAATGAAGTCGCCATCGAACGTCTTTTATCCCACATGTAGGGAAAGGTAAACATCGAGAAAACCTGAGAAGGGAGAAGTCACGGTCTCGCGACCGAGAGATCGGGTAAGAGAGTCTGTTACGCGAGGGGAAGGTATTAGCACCCCACACGCCCGTAGTACTCTATGGTATCCACTCTTGTTGTCTATCTTATGGGTGTGTTTAATCTATGCTTATTGTTTATTACTGCTAAAGGGAGAATGCATGCAAAAGAAAAGGGAAAATAATGTAGGGAAAATAAAATTATGCTCGCTTGGGCCCTACCCTAATGCCTACGTATCCGTTTT